TTTAACCCGCCAACCTTGCGGTTCAAACCGACCTTACAGTCCAGTGCATTAACCCACAGTGCTGCAGATTCAGTGCTGGATCTCTCTTTTTCACATTTCCCAACAATATGGACCATTTGCATTAAAGTTAAATAGCATAACTTATGTAGGATTCATTTTTACTCACTCTTGTTCTAAAATCACAGATTTCATTTGACAATGTGCTAGGACAGAATTATATTTTTAAACTTAGAAAACCACACTTTCAAACTGCTAAAAGTAAAAATTTCTTGTGTCAAAAATAGTTTCTTAAACTGACATGATCAGTTGTATTTAGAATATTAAAGCAAAAGTGAATTGAGAACGTATCCAACCAATGTTGCATTGTTGGGGTTCCTCTCTTTATGTTTGAGGTGAAAGGTGAGGAGAAATGAAAAATAAGAATTTTTTCTGCATTCCCAGGTGTTTTCTCTTTGGATGTACCTAGGGGTGAATGTCTTATTAACAACCAGCTTACTGTGGATTGTTGCTGAGAATATTGGGGAAGGGTTGTGTGTGTGTGTGAGAAAGCAGTTGTGATCATGTAGACATAATTACCGATCATGAATCGACGAATCGTTGTGTATTGGATCCCATTTGTTTCCCTTTGTCTAGTCAGTCCTACTGCCGGATGTGGACTGTCCTACTCTTCACATTATAAATGGCCTGCACATGTGTGGATGTGCCACACGTTAGAATCCTCGTATACTTGACTGGGTTGGCCAGAAAACTGTACACGACTCTTTACTCCTTGTACAACTCTTTACTGGTCTGCTTCACTGGCCACATAATTGGTGCACATGATGAACCATGACAAATGTGATTCAAGCGAGGTCAGTGATATGCAACTGAAGTTGTTGATACAGTGAGCTGTATAGGCCCAGGGCAGTGATAGGCATCACGAAAGAGAACATTCCTGAAGTTGTAGCTCACACTGAGGAAAGCAGAGTACAGTGAGGACCACAGACACTTTCTGTCTGTGACTTGGTGGCTCTTGCCATTCTTGAAGCATGTGTGTTTCCTGACTCTCTTTGTTACTGAACCAGTTGCTGTTAAGTGCCATCAAGTCAGTTCCAACTCACAGTGACCCTGTATAGGGTTTCTAAGGAGCAGCTGGTGAGCTTGAACCGCCAATCTTGCAGTTCAAATAGCTTTGCAGTCTGGTGCATTAACCCACCACGGCACACCAGGACTCCATAGTAGGTAGTTGTTGGTAAGTTCCTTCCCATCTCTTCCAACTCATAGAGACTCTATGGGATTTCCAAGGAGCAGCTGGTAGGTTTGAACCACTGACCTTGTGATTAGCAGTCCACTGCGTATCCTGCTGTGCTGTGCCAGGATTTAGGATTTAAATAGTGGGCATCTCAGAAACTTCATATTTTTTGATATTTCTTGCTCCAAAAAGTGGGACCTTGTTCTCATTTCCTTGAGTGCGTTGGACCAAGGACTCAACTTCTAGTGAATCTAATGTTGTGTTTGTTTTCTTGATAATAAATGGTAAAGACATTGTAGTTTCCTTCTCATTTGCATCCCTCACTGTGTGTTATGAGGACCTGTAGCTGGGAACTGAGGCCTCCTGCCCACAGCCTTGTAATTGAGCCATCTTGGAAGCAGGTTTGCAGCCCCACTCAGTCTGCACACGACTGCATCTCCAGCTGATACTTTCATTATAAACTCTTGGGAGACCTTGAGCCAAATTAAGCTACTCTTGAACTCCTGACACAGAAACTGTGAGATAATGTTTGTTGTTTTAAAACACACAGTTTGGGAGTCATTTGCTACATAGAAGTAGATGACTAACAAACCAAATCCAGACCTGTTGTTGTATAATTGATTCCAACTCACAGCAGCCCTGTAGAAGAGTAGAACCGCTCCATGGGACTTCCTATGCTGTAAATCTTTCTGGAAGCAGATGGCTTCATTTTTCTCCGAAAGAGCAGCTGATGGATTCGAACTGCTTACTTTTGTGAACCTGCCATTGGCGTAGGATTTAAAATAACCCTTGTAGCACCGTAGGATAACACGCTGGACTGCAAAATCGATCTGAACCAGAAGGTTGGTGGTTCAAGCTCACCAGCTGCTCCTTGGAAACCCTATGCAGGGTCACTGTGGGTAGGAACAGACTCAATGGCACATAACAACAACAATAACAACAAACAAGGTTCTCAGCCTTGGCTTCATGTTGAAATCGCTCAGAGTTCTCAGTTTTTGATACCTGGTTCCTTTTCTTAAAGATTTTTATGTAATTAGTCTGGATTCTGTGTTTAGGGTCTAAGAAGATTGTAATGTGCAATTGGGCACCACTGCTCCAGGTGGTACCTGAAAGAAGGCTTGGAGACAATGGAATATGGTTTCGACTTTTCTTCCCTCCTGTGTCTTTCTTCCTGTTGGCCAAGCATCAGACTGTACTGTTCTTTAAGACACCCATGGTACTTCAAGTTAATGAGCTGGACTTCAGGGTCGGTTTGAACCACAAGGTCGGTGGTTCAAGCTCCCCAGTCGCTCCTCAGAAATCCTATACAGGGTCGTTACGGGTTGGAACCGACTCAACAGCACTTAGTCACAATAACCAGTAATTGAATCAATGAGATGGTGTGAAAAGGAAAGCTGGAGGGTAGGATTAATTCTTTATAAATCTTGGCATTTATTTTGTCTTAGCCCTATCATACAGTTTAGCTTGTTCACGATCCTGTTAATTCCCTTACACACTGAGACTTGTCTTTTGCAGAAGTAGTTCTATAAAATTCTGGTGAGACATTTATCTTGTTTCCACAGTAAAGACATTCTCTGTACTCTGTAAGATTTTTCTACTTTGGGAAATACATTGGTGTTTTTCTCTAGAGAGGAGCTTTAGTCAAAATATTTTATTGATGAAGAATATGCTGTCTCCCACCCACCCCCCATCCCCCTCCCCATGCAAACTTTTGACTTATCTCATTATTTAGTTTCCTGTCGAGTATTGTGGTATATATGAATATTCATCTAAGTTCTGATGTCATGTTGAAACCCATTGGTAGTCAGTTTTAGCCAATTAAGTGCTTCCTACCTAGTATCCTAGTCAGAAAGATAGAGTTCTGGAATAACAGGAAACACTGTTTTTAACATCCTGTTATTCTGGATTGTATAACTTGCTGCCTCACCACAATGAAGGTTAGTAGAAATTTATATATGTATTATTTTGTAGAATGCCATGGTGTTTAACTTTCCAAAGATTTAGAACTTTAGAGCTGAAAGAGGCATGTTGATTACCGATTCCAATATTCTACAGTCAAGGAAACTTTTGTATTTTACATATGTAGGGGCTTCAGAAAGTTCATGGAAAATGCAATCTTCATGAACTTTTTGAAGCCCCCTTGTATATAGAAGTGGAAGGGCAAGTTAAAATAATAATTTTTTTTATTACAACTATATTTGTCATTTAACAAAAGTAGGTGGATATAAATCAGTTTAGACAAATGTTCTTTTTTGACTTGGAATTTCGTAATAATCGATTATTTCCAGCCCACATTTTATATTGTATCTATTTTATTTATAGTAGCGCTTTCTACAGGAAGAATGTGTCTCAGCAGATCAGTTAATTATCCTTTGTACTTCATCTGTATTAGACACCAGTATTAGTAAACATATATAGAATGCTTAGATGCATTTCATACCTTTTTTAAGGATTATGAGCTTTTAAAAAGTGAACCATTTTCAGCTCCTTTTTCGGCTCTTCAGTGATTTGGTGGCCTTTCATGAGGTGTTTTTCAGCTTCTGAATGTTCTTTTTTGGTTTTTCCTGTTTAAATACATTTGAAACGTAGTTCATGTCTGTTTTCCTCATTTTGGAAACGAAAGACAGAAAATCTTGTAACTTAAAATGATTTTTCAATTAGAGCAGTAATTATTCAAATGTGAAATCCCTTTTCTTAGCTTTGTGTCCATTTCACTGGAAGTGAAATTTTAGCAAACACAAGATGGATTGGTTTATTTATTCATTCAACAAACACTAGAATTTTACTGCGTGCCAACCATTTTGCTAGATGTTGGGAGAAGATGTGTGATGAATACGTCTTTATATTCCCTTTGTATCTGTGTTGGAATATAAACATTGAATGTAAGATTATAATTGTGTTTAATCTCCTAGGGGGACATATGCTAGAGGGACTTGGTTTCCTCTGGGGGGGTGGGAAACAAGGCTATCAAGGAAGTGGTCTGTCAGGAAGCAAGATGAGTAAGAGGCAGGAAAGTGGATGGGGGAGGGAGAGTCAGAAACAGAAGGAGGGAAGGAAGTTACTGGTGAAATCTTTGTAAGAGGTGTGGTGAGTTAGAGGAATGGAAAAAGGGTTAAAGTGGAGCCCAGGCTGAGCCCCTCATGACAGAGGGGTGTGTGTGTAAACTGATAGATCTGGAGAACCCTGAGAGATGATCAGAGGCCTTGCAAGATTACATTAAGGATTTTGTATTTTTGGACTGAAGGGCCAGAAGAAGCCATTCCTGATTGTGAAAAAAAGGTTGAGGAATTGAGACTGATTACTGGCTTTAGAGTGGAGTGGACTGTCGGTTGGCCTTTCCTGTGACGATAATGGAAAATCTCTGTTATATCTGTAGACTGGTCTCTGCCCTAGCCTGAAGAGAAAAGGGTTCCCAGACTTCACCACTGAGTGTTTCTTGAGTGTCATTGGCACACCTGGGCTCATAATCTATAAAGGAAGCTCTTGCCTCAGGTTGTAAAGATGGGTGGAGAAAAGGTAGGTAATTGGAAACTGATCTAAGGTCATTAAAGGGATTAAAGTATGCATAAAAAAGCATTCTGGACCTAATTATCCCGAGACTATGAAACTGAACTCTTTCCGTTCTGAGTCTGCTAGATTGGAGCTTCAGCTTTATGGTTTTTGTCTGAGAATCCTGTACACATGGACCCTCACATGGGGGGAGAAAGTTCATTTATCCACACCTGATGGAAGACCCTACTAATTTTGCTTGTTTAATTTTTCCTTTCAGACGTTTGATGCAAATGATTTGTATCAGGGGCAGAATTTTAACAAGGTCCTCAGTTCCTTAGTGACCCTAAATAAAGTAACAGCAGGTAAGACTCTTTTTTTTATTGAACTTGTTGGGGTGGGAAGACAAAAAACGGAGAAAACCTTTCGTTTTCTGTTAGCAAGGCAAGCTAATCATTACTAAATTTAAAAAAAACAAAACAACAAACTTTATTTGCAGTAGATTTTTGATTATTGCTTTTATGATGCACAGTGCCCCCTCCACACCCATATCAGAAGAAATCTTTGTCTTGAGGTCCTGTATTGGATATCAGATGTTTTCCTTTCTGTAGGCATAGAGATTTCTGTGCTAAAAGTGTGATAGAGTTAGCAAAGCCTTGTCCACACGGGAAAACCCATGGGTCATCCTAGAACCGAAAGCACCTAGCTCGGAGCTTTCCTGCTAATTAAGAATTTGTATCCAGTGAGCAGTATGGTTTTGAGATGAGATCCTGAATTAGGGAGTAGCCAGTGAATTGGTTGTCTGAGGTCAGCATCTCCCTGACCAGGGTTCCTGAGAACCTAACCTGGAGGGGCACCTTGGGTATTACGGTTTGAAATTTTCTGCAACCCCAGAAGTTGCCTAAATGGAGAGGATGGGGTTGAAGATGGGGACCAGGCTGTCCCTCTCCACAGGCTATAAGGCCATAGTAAGGTGATGGCATTATTCTAGTCATCAATTACTTTGATGGTGTCTGAGAGAAGTCCTTAGCTGTTCCTGTGAATCCTTGAGGAATTAGATCTTGGATTATTGTGTGAGTCCTAATGACAGAATTTAACTAGCTTTTGGGTTTTTTCCTTCTTCTTTTTTCTATTTACCTTTACGTATTTTAAATTTGAGATTTGTGAAGGAAATTTAGAGACTATTGTTGTTATGTGCCGTGGAGTCGGTTCCGACTCATAGCAACCCTGTACAGGGTTTCCGAGGGTGTAAATCTTTACGGGAGCAGAAAGCCTCATCTTTCTCCCATGGAACAGCTGGTAGTTTCGAACTGCTGACCTTAAGGTTCGCAGCCCGATTTGTAACCACTGCGCTACCAGAGCTCCTTTACAGAATATAGAATATCTTTCTTTGAACAGATAACTCTTTTTTTTAAAAGTTTATTTTGATACTAATTTCATCTTGCCCACACAGATAGGTTTACTTTTGGGGTACAATCCGTAGGTCTTGAAATTTCTTCTCCGTGGGGCAGGGACTGTCCTTAGTGACATTTTACAACAATATTTTGGTGTTGATGGCTGTCACAGAGTTAGAATAATGCCTATATAGCTGGGTGAGCCACAGTGGGCTAAGGAGACTGCCTGGTGCCTCCAGTTCTTAAAGAACAGGAAGTGAGGCCTTACCCCCAGTAGAAAACCATTTGGAGCTACCTCCATTCTCAGTGTGCTTCCAGAGCAGGCTGTTACTTGACTGTCCACACAGACGTTTGGATGTGGATACATTTTCACAGCTTGAATGTGTCAGGTTTAACACTGAAAATCTCATGATCGTGTTCTGATGGAAGCATCTAGAAAATGCCATTAAGTTAGACCTGTATGAGTGAGGAATAGGAAAAGCTTGATGATCTAAATTCAAGGGAAGGGAATGGAGAGAAAGTATTAAATATTTAAAGATATGCAAAGTTGGATATAAGGAATTAAAAACATTTAATGCTGTTTTGCAAATGAGAGTAGGGTTTCATAAAGGTAATCAGACAATGAGGCTGCCTTCTATAGTCCTATGTTAAGTTGTTGTTGTTCGGAGTCATTGAGTTGGTACCAACTCACAGTGACCTTATTTACAAACAGAACTAAACACTGCCCTGTCCTGCGTCAGCCTCACAATTGTTGCTATGCTTGAGCCAATTTCTGCTTCCACTTGTTGGGGGTCTTCCTCTATTTCGCTAACCCTCCACTTTACCAAGCATGATGTCCTTTTCCAGGGACTGGTCTCTCCTAAAGTATGAGAGACAAAGTCTGGCTGTCCTGACTTCTAAGAGTGCACTTCCTCCAACACAGACCTGTTTGTTCTTTTAGCCTCCATGGTACTTTGAATATTCTCCTTCAATACCGTAACCCAAATGCATCAATTTCTCTGTGGTCTTCTTTATTTGTTGCACAACTTTCGCATCCATATGAGGTAATTGAAAATACCATGGCTTGGGTCAGATGCATCTTAGACCTCAGACTGACATCTTTACACTTGAATACTTCAGATAGGTCTTGTGCAACATATTTGCCTAATGCAGCATGTCATTTGATTTTTTTTACTGCTGCTTTCGTGAAAGTTGATGGTTGATCTGAGCAAAATGAAATCCTTGACGACTTCAGTTTTTCTCTATTGATTGTGATGTTATTTATTGGTGCAGTTGTGAGAATTTTTATTTTCTTTGCATTGAGATGCAACCCATACCTAAGGCTGTTGTCTTTTATCGTCATCAGTCTTTTAAGACCTGTTTGCTTTCAGCAAGCAGGGTTGTATAATCTGCGTATTACAGGTTGTTACTGAGTCTTCCTTCAGTCCTGATGCCACATATCTTCATATAATCCAGTTTCTCAGATGATTAGCTCCACATACAAATCAAGTCAGTGTGGTGAAAGAATAAAGCCTGGGTCTACACCATTCCTCATTTTAAACCATTCGGTGTTCCTTGTTCTGTTTGAACAACTGCCTCTTTGATCTTTGTATTAGGGTCCATGTGAGCACAATTAAGTGTTTCTGGAATACTCATTCTCTACAATGTTGCCCATAGCTTGTCAAGATCCACACAATCGAAAACCTTTGCGTAGTCAGTGAAGCACGGTAAACATCTTTTTGGTATGCTCTGCTTTCACCCAAGATCCGTCTTGGTGGATATCAACAGTGATGTCCTTCATTCTACAGCCTTGCCTGAATTGGACCTGAACCTCTGGCAGCTCCTTTTTTATGTACTGCTATAGCCGTTTTGAATTATCTCTAGCAGAGTTTTTCTTGAGTGTGATATTAATGACATTGCTTGATGATTTTCATGTTCCGTTGGGTTACTACCTCCCTTTGGAATGGTCACAAATACAGAGTTATGCCAATTTCTTGGCATAGATGAGTGAGTGCCTCCAGTGTTATATCAGTTTGTTGAAAGATTTCAATTTGTATTTCATCAATTACTAGAGCCTTGTTCTTTGCCAGTGCCTTCAATGTAGTTTGGACTTCTTCCTTCAGTATCATTGGCTCTTGGTCATATGCTACCTCTTGAAATGGTTGAACAGCAACCATTTCTTTGGTACACTGACTCTGGGTATTCCGTCCATCTTCTTTGGATGCTTTCTGCATCATTCAAGATTTTGCTCAGAGTGCCCTTCAGTATTGAAGGTCAAGGGTTGAATTTTTCCTTTAGTTCCCTCTGCTTGAGAAATGCTGAGCATATTCTTTTGGTTTTCTACCTCCAGGTCTTTGCACATTTCATTAAAATATTTGACTTTGTCTTCTTGAGTTTCTCTTTGAAATTTTCTATTCAGCTCTTTTACTATCATTTGCTTTAGCATCTCTACACTGGAGAGCAAGTTTCAGAGTCTCTTCTGACATCTATTTTGGTCTTTTCCTTCTTTCTTGTCTTAATGACCTTTTTGCTCTCTTCCTGTATGTTGTTCTTCATATCATCTCGCAACTCTTTTGGTCTTCATTAGTGTCTAATTCATCATATGTATTGTTGAGAAGATCTCTAAGTTCAGGTGGAACATGTTCAAGGTCATATTTTGTCTCTCGTATACTTGTTTTAATTTTCTTCAGTTTCAGCCTGAACTTGTATATGAGCAATTAATGATGTGGTCCACAGTCTGCCCCAGGTCTTGTTTTGACTGATTATATGGAGTTTTTCCATCATCTCTTTCCACTTAGTCAATTTGATTTTTGTGTATTCTGTCTGGTGAGGTCCTTGTAAAAAGCACTTGCAATGAAGAAGTCATTGGTCCTGTAAAATTTTATCATGTGATCTTCAGCATCATTTGTATCACCAAGGCCATATTTTCCAACTACTGCTCTTTCTTTGTTTCCAGCCTTTGCATTCCAATCGCCAGTAACTCAGTACATCTTGATTGCACATTTGATGAATTTCAGAATAAAGAAGTTGGTAGAATTCTTGAATTTCATCATCACTGACATTAGTGGTTGGTGCATAAATTTGAATAGTAGTTGTATTAAGTGGTTTGCATTGTAAGCATCTGGAGAGTAACCTACCATAGACAGTGCTACACTTTTAGATTTTGATATGTTCTTTTTGATGATGAATGCGATGCCCTTCCTCTTCAATTTGTCATTCCTGGCATAGTAACCCATGTGATTGTATAATACAAAATGTTAATACCAGTCCATTTCATCTTACTAATGCCTAGGATATCGATGTTAATCTGCTCTATTTCATTTTTGATAAATTCCAGTTTTTCTAGGTTCGTACTTCGTCTATTTCATGTTCAGCTTATTAGTGGATGTTTACAACTGTTACTCTTCATTTTGAATTGTGCTGTATCACCAAATGAAGGTCCAAAAGCTTTATTCCATTAGCGTCATCTCTACTTTGAGGAGGCCGCTCTTCCTCAGTCGGATTTTGAGTGCCTTCCAAGCTGAGAGGCTTATTTTCTGCTACTATAGCTGACAATATTCTGATGTTTTTTATCATGTTTCGGTATTCAATATTCTGGTGCTACCTGACAGTGTTCCACTGCTAGTCACCAGGTGTGTAGCGAATAATTATTTGCAGGTAATCCATCTCTCCTCCTTCGTTGTCTGTTTTAGTTTGGAACTTCGTCTGATATATGTCCACCATGGGTGACCCTACTGATACCTAAAGTACCGGTGGTATAGCTTCCAGAATCACAGCAACAAACAAGCCACCACAGAATGAAAAACGGATAGATGAGTGGTGGGCCCTACATTATAGAATTGATCATTTTAATATGAATGAACAAATAATAAGAAAAAAGTTCAGTTAAAAAGATACTGCTGATAAAGCAATATAAGTGTATTTGAAGTAGATCATACTGGAATTAAGTATAAAATATATGTGAGGTTAGACACAGAGTGTGGCATATTTATAGTTCATAACCACATATGCTATCTAACAACCTTCTTAAATATGCATGTACTCTTAGACCCTTTGAATGCCATATGAAGATAGGTCTCTGGGCTGACAGCGACAAGAATCACATAGACAAATTAGTGTACGAATAACTCTCCATTTGAGCTCTGATAAAACCATGTGGGAGCCGTGTCTAACTTCCTGTGGCTTCACAAGGGGAAAAGAGGATCAAACTCAAAATCAGCCCAAGGCGGATTCCTATGAAGCGGAGCTTAGACACGCAGATCCCACAACTGTCTTCAGCCTATTGTGACGCCAACCATCTCTCCCTTAGCACTCTCTGCTTCACATCTGGGTTTGATACTTCATTGTAGTGGCCACACAGAACTCAAAGCAATGCTCACGATTATGGGGTCTATTAGGGAAGTGAACAGGGTACAGTTCAGTATCAAAACCAACTCAGAACGCAGCAGTTCTCCTGGTCTCCAGTCTGCCACATTGCAGGCACGCCTCAGTCTTGTTTTCAGTCTCTCAGCCGCATTGTGATCTTCAGCATCATTTCTGTCTTGTCCCTTGGCCTCTGCCCTGAGTGTGCCCGTGTTACAAGGCTCTTGTAGCTAGTCTGTGATGCCCAGAGAGCACAGTCTGTAGGCCAGGGTCCTGCTTGTAGACACTCAGCTTCCATTTTGATGGTCCAGGGATCTTTCGTCTCTTTCTGAGATGGCTCCTTTTTCTTTTTCTTTTTTTGTTTTTATTGTGAATTGAGTAATAGTTTACATGAGAGAACATCGGTTTTACACTCATCCTTTCATTATAGTGATTACTATCTCCTCCGTGCATCGTCACTCAACAGTATTTTCTTCTATTCTTTCTGGGGTTTTTTGGGGGGTGGGGGATGTACACAAGAACACTCAGAAATATATAATCATTCAGACAATGGGCACATTCTGCAAGCCTGCTTTGTGATCGTCATCACACAACCTTTCTCTCTCCATGAGTCTAGAGTCCTCAGCTGCTACATCTCTCCATGTCCTCATCTCAGCCTCCATGAGATGGCTCCTTTTAAGCCTAGCTGGAGGACAAAACTAACCAATTCCAGCCTTAAACTCTTGTACACCTTATTTGCATGGTCCCACCCAGTCAGTTGGTGAGAATTAAGATGGGTTTTCTAAGCCTTATCCTGTATATTCAAGGCACCACAAGTCCCTGCTCACAGTGAATACTTCCCTGGAGTTTGCTCATAGGGAGAAAGCTAGACAGATTTGAATTTCACCATAGATAGTTTAAGTGGAGATGCTGAGTAGTAAAAACAGTGGTCAGGAGAGAATAGTAACAAAGAACTACAAGAAGAGTTTTAGTTTATAAACTAGGTAATATCATGAATAATAAGTTTTAAGTACTATCATTTATAATTAAATAATGGAGACTGAACGTTTCCAGGATCAAATATCTCTTGGAAACAAATCACACCATTTTATGCAAAAATACTTCTCATATACTCATGATATCATTGTATACATAGTAGAAATAATGTGGCATTGTTCTCTCTAAAATAAACTTGGTATTTTCTCCTCAGCTCTTTCTTTATACAGTGATTCCTCAGATGGGAAGAGTTTTGTGCATTTATGTTTGTTGGCTTCTTGCTCTTAATTGTTATTTTTATAGTGTGATGACAATAGCTGTACTTTTTCTTTTTTTTTCTAATTTTTACTCCAATCACTGATTTAGCAATATGAGTAGAGCTCTTGCGTGTAGGCCATCTTGAGAAGATGCTGTCATTATTTCCCTCTGCTTCTGTCGATCAGAAATCCATTGTGTTCCCCAAGTGCAGAGGTGACTGTTTACCTTTGACTAGACAGAAGATAGACGTGTGAGAGGGAAGTGAGGAGCATTCTTGTTGCTGTCGTCGTCATGTGCCGTGGAGTCGGTTCCAACTCATAGCGACCCTATACAGGGTTTCTGAGGCTGTGAATCTTTACGGGAGCAGAAAGCCTCATCTTTCTCCTGCTGAGCAGCTGGTATTTTCGAACTGCTGACCTTAAGCGTCATAGCCCGATTCGTAACCACTATGCTACGCGAGCTCCTTCAGGGGCATTCTTAGGATGCCTTTATTGTACTTCAGAAACCCTCTTGAGTTTGTAGAGAATCATGTGGATAAGGTCACTGTGGTCAAAATCTTTATGAACTGCCCTTTTGCTTCTGGTTTTATTTTTGGGATTGCATAAAATAAAGCTGGTTAAAATCACCTAGTTTCCATCATTATGAGTTAGAAAGTACTGAAATGGCGATTCTTACATACCTAAGCCAGATCTCAGAATCCTAGGAAACCTTTCAGAGGTGACCCAGTAGCGCTTGAAAGCCTGTTGGGAGGTCAAACACAGAGTGCCCTGGAGGAAACAGCTTAAAGTGAAGATGGAACAAAGGTCCACTCCTAGTCACTCCATGGTGCGCAGCCCTTTCTCAGTTCTGGATCAGTGGACTCTGAGGAAATAAGGAACTTGTGTTGCTCTGTCTTACATGTTTAGAGAAAGGCTAGAAATCTGGCTTTTTCTGTGAAATCTTAAGACTTGTAAATGTTGATACCCAATTTAAAAAAACATGTCAGCTAGAAATATCTGAATTGGAGATACGATCAGTCTAAGAAAGCTTTTATCGAAACTCACCTTGTCACTTCAGGAAACTGAATTTACTGTATATTAGAAAAATAATTTCCATGGAAAACTTAGTTTTCAAAGCATATTTTTGTAATAAAATGAATCATGCCTAGGAAATAAGTTGTTGACTCCTAAGCCCATGGACAAGGACCTTGCCACGGAGGGCTAGAGTTGAGAGTGAAGTGTCCAGCTGATAGGAAGTGAGGGGAGATGCACAAGAACACCCAAACTTGGAGACAGTACCCATTTGACCTAACCTGGATGGCTTGATGATCAGAACTCAACTAGAGGCAAATTAAGAATTTTGATAAAAGGAACAAGTGTAAATTGGTACAATTTGATGAACTTGACTTATACTTACTGATGTAGTAGCTCAAAATATCAACTGAGAAGGAAGGAGTCTTCACATCAAGGAGCAGACCTATCTCCTCTGTACAGGTTTGAGAGGGTCGGGCAACTTAGACATTGTTGTTGTAAAGTGCCATTGAGTTGGTTCTTACCCATAATGAACCCTGCATAGGTTTCCAAGGAGCAGCTAGTGAGCTTGAACCACTGACCTTGCAGTTCAAATGGCTTTGCAGTCTAGTGCATTAACCCACAGTGCCATACAGGAACACCATAACTTATACATTGGCTACCTAGGGGTCACGGGGCAGATAAAAGCACAAAGTGACTGACTCACAAGTTTTCAAGAGGAAATTTAGTTTCAGAGTGTGTGGGGGAAGGTAGAATCCCCACTGAATAGTTTTCATCTTGTCTAGATGGGTCTGGTGAAAGGAGATGGGGATAAGATTCTTAAGATTTAATAGTGAGTAATTGTTATCATGACTAATTGCAACTGTCCTAACTGTAATGACAGACGTTTTGTAACATAAAGGGGGGAGTAGTTAATCTTATAGTCCAGGGACAGAGAACCCTAGGACCATCAAAGGAGAAGAGCATGAGTGGAATCTGGGACCCTATCTAGAGAAGCAGCGACACCAGAGATGGAGGCAGAGAGGAGGTCATGGAGAGAGAGAGCAGCTGAGGACTCTAGACTCACAGGAAGAGAAAGGCTGTGTGCTGGTGGCCAGGAGTCAGGCTTGCAGAATGTACCCTTGGGTTGTTTAAATGATTATATATTGCTGAGTGTTTTTGTGTACGCCAGTCAAAAACACCAAAAAATGAATGATTCATGGAGGGGGTTGTAATCATTGCAATGAAATGAAATATAGCAGGATGAGTGCAAAACCGGTGTTCTCCCTTGTAAACTGCTGCTCAATTCACAATAAAAGCTATTAAAAAAGAAGAAAGATGTTAACATTTACCTGTTGGTTGGCCTTTATGACGGAAACTCAGGGGAAAGCTTCAGCCCTCAAGTATCTGTTTACTTTGATCCTTCAAAAGCGTTGTGTGAGATAAGTCGAGACTGTGTTATCTTCATTTTGAGGAAATAATACTCAAAAGATTCTCTCTGAATAAAAATATAAAAGGAGATTCTTTTGGTTTTAAATGAGGATCTTTTGTAGCAAAATAATAATTCTCTATTACACGAACATTACCGTGGAAAACTGGAGAGACAGTGATAGAGCCTTGGGGAATAAGAACTTCCTTGTTTTCTACTAAGTAATTGAATTTGAGAGGCTTATTTTTTTCCAGGTGAAAAGAAGCTATTAAAAACAATTACCAAACATTTCATAAGTGAGATACTTTGTGAATATACTAAATGATTAAACGTTTTAAAAATTATTCTAGAGAAGAACTAATAAATAGCTATCATCCAGATAATTTCTGGAAAGGTAATTGGAGAATGAATGCAAGTCATTTATATAGTAGACAAAGAATTTGTTCTTTGTTTACTGCATAAATGGCTGGCTTTGTTCAGGTCTTTTGGTGTGTCCCTCTGTGGCTGCCCTATTTTTAAAGCTTGGTGCGTAGTAAGAGTGCATGATTTCAGTCATCGTCAGCTCTTTCTCTCTTCTATGTGTACGATCTTTGCAGACATTGGACTGGGAAGTGATTCTGTATGTGCTCGGCCCTCCTCTCATCGGATCAAGTCTTTTGATTCCCTTGGATCCCAGTCCTTACACAGCCGGACTTCAAAATTGTTCCAGGGCCAGTATCGAAGTTTGGTAAGTTTGATATATTGTGTTATTTAAGTGAAGTATGTTTTGAGGGGGTGTACGTGTTATATATTTATCTGGGAAAATATATGTATTTCTAGTAGTAACATTGTGTCAGACACCTAGAAGATAGTTAGATTTTGCCTCCATTATTCCTTTAGTCTGGTTTGGCATTTGTTTATTAGCAGATTATATAGATATCGTGCTTAACGAACGCTTTCTGAGAAACTTGAAAAAAATTTTAAAGGGTACTTTATTTTAAGATTCATAAATCTGTTTATCCTGAGAGAATTCTGCTGTCAAATACTTCTATGATTACTTGCCTAGTAATTTTTATTTATCATACACAAATGGACAGAAAAATGAGAATAAGAAATACATGTGTAAAGGCATTTAGAAGTACATAAGAAGGAATGGTAAAACCTAAAGACTCTAAAGGTAGACTTTTCCTTCATCAAAAAAGACTAGATCGTACGTAACAACAACAGAATGCTTTGAGACAGATTGTACTTTGTAAGAGACAGAATCCTTTATAATGTCTGGTAATGAGATAGGAGAAGAAAGTTAAGTGAACATTTATCATGAAGAATGAAGAACAGTCTTACCAATGAGTCCTCATCATATACCATGGGCTATGAGTAATGAACACGCAGGTGGTCCCTAACTTGCCATAGGCTCTTCTGTTCAGATGACTCCTTGTAAGTCAGTTTGATGTAAGTGATGTAAGGTGGTGAATACCTCATTATTTAAAAATTCCCATTTGTCTTGTCTTTCATTTTCAGTATCTTTATTAACTTGGTTTTTATTTGTCTTTTGTTGTTGTTGAGTGCCTTCGAGTCAGTTCCAGCCCATAATGACCCTGTATAGGGTTTCCTGGGAGTGGCTGGTGAGCTTGAGCTGTGGACTTTGTGGTTCAAACCGACTTTACAGGCCAGCGCAGTAACCCACAGTGCCACCCCAGGCCTCCTTATTTTGTTGTTAGGAGTTGGAAATACTACTGTAAATTTACAGATCATTGATAACATCAGCAACTTGTGCACTACACTATAGTGTGTAGTATTTATTACTAACAATAAAATGTACCAAAAACCAAAATCAATGTTTCTAAGTGTGGTTCATTGTAACATCATAAATCGGGGAGTAGATGTAGTGGTTGTTGGTGACATTGAAAATGAGAAATGAGGAAAATAGTAAGTGGAGACGTCACAGCATGTGACACGGTCAGGACTGCTCCCATAGGCCTTTGCAAATCACGTCTTTTTTTGAACCTAGTGGGTCCTTACCAAGGAGCTCCGGTAGAGTCGTGATTATTACTAGTTGGGCTGCTAACCTCAAGGTCAGCAGTTCGAAACTACCAGCCATTCCACGGGAGAAAGATGAAGCTTTCTGCTCCCCTAAAGATTTACAGCCTTGGGAACCCTACGCAGGGTCACTACGAGTCGAAAGTGACTCTACGGCACATAACCACCACCAGTGGGTCCTTGGTACTTTGATTAGTTGCTGACGACATGACTTCCCTTTCATGTAATATTATTAGTAAATTATTTTATGCGAAAACCAAAATTTTATTACAACATTTTACAAGGAACCTCTGTTCAGAAATGAGCGTAAAGATAATCTGAATTTTGGGGACATCGAAAGGAATAAACAAGCTAATGCCTCTTGGAAATAAAAGGAAAGGAAATAAAAGCTAGTATTCAAACTAGTGTGAAATACTGAGAGATGCTGAAGAAACGTAATTTTTGCATTTTCCTTTTTAAATTTAAGCCAATTCTCATTGTTGAGTGTTTCCTCATAGAGACGTTCTAGCATGCTATTTCTGGTTTTGTGTACAACATAAGATGTGTTCATGTAAATGCATCATAGTTTTACTATCTGCCAGGCAGTACTTTCAGTATAACCTCAGTTATAATAGTCATAACAGCTTCTGAGATATAGGCCTATTTCACCCCTAACATTTTTCATCTGATTGTTTTCTTTCCTTTTTTGTTTCTATCTTGAGAGTGAAAAGGACTGGATTGCAAATGCATAATTTTAAGAAAAGTAAGGTTCGACATATTGTTGGCACTGAGTATTATTACATCATCATAAATCTAACTCAGTGTCAAACCCACTGCCATTGAGCCGGTTCTGACTCACAGCGACCCTGTAGAGGGTTTCCAAGTCTGTAAATCTTCACCGAAGCAGACAGAGCCTCATCTTTCTCCTACCGGGTAGCAGGCAGCTTTGACCTGGTGAACTTATGGTTAGCAGTGTAATCTACAGCGTTTCCGGGGCTCCTTATGATCCATGTTGTTGTTTAGTACCATCAAATCAGTTCTAAGTCATATGTCCCAGCATAGGGCTTTCCAGGAGCAGCTGGTAGGCTTGAACTGCCACCCTTGTGATTAGCAGTCTAGTGCTTATCCTGTAACACCACACCAGGACTCCATGATACATATTGTTAATGTTATGTGCTGTGAGTTGATTCCGATCCATAGTGACCCTGTACAGGATTTCCGAGGAGCGACTGGTGAGCTTGAACCACCGACCTTGAGGATCAAACCTACTTTGCAGTCCAGCGCATTAACCCACAGTGCCACGCCAGGACTCCATGATACATATAGTAGTAGTTTTATTATTATCTAGAGAATGGTAACTTGTTCTAGAAATAAAAGACGTCAGCACAGGTGCTTTATCATTGTCTCTGTGTGTGTGTGTCGGTGTGTGAGACAGTGAGAGACAGACAGACAGACAGAGAAAGAATGATAATTCTAATGAGCAGCTAGTGAGACTTTTGTGCCCCATGGTAAGACTTTTTCTGTACTAAGTAAGAATGGCCACTTCTTTTACCTTTGATTTTTCTGTGTTTATTAATCGCACTCTAAGGTAATTTTCTTGGGTTAAAAATAATTTATAATTAAGAATGGCAGTGTTTATTTATAGCTGGATAATGGGTCTATGTTGTTGTTGTTGTGAGGTACCATTGAGTCAGTTGTGAATTGCCGCAGTCCCGTGTACAGCAGAGTGAAACACTGCCAGTCCAGTGTGATCCTCACAGTCGTTATGGTGTGTCAGCCCATTGTTGCCGCCGCTGTGTCGTCCGTTGCACTGAGGGTTTTCCTCTTTGTCACTGGTCCTCTACTTTAACAAGCATGAAGTCCTTCTCTAGGGACTGTCCCGCCTAATAACATGTCAAAACTACGTGAGACCAGGTCTCACCATCCCTACTTCTAATGTGCATTCTGTCTGTACTTCTTTCAACACAGAACTGTCAAAATGCTCCTTACAATCTAGGATGACGAGGCTTAGGCGTTGATTCTTCGGACATGTTATCAGGAGGGACCAGTCCCTGGGGAAGGACATTAGGTTTGATAAAGTGGAGGGTTAGTAAAAAAGAGGAAGACCCCCAATGAAATGAATTGGCACAGTGTCAGCAGCACTGGGCTCATGTGCCATCTGATATGTTCTGCATTGTCTCTGCTCACCTTTCTCTGCAATGGGCGTGACTGTGGATCTCTTCCAGTTGATTGGTAGGTAGCTGTGCTCAACAATTGTGAGGACGGCACAAGCCAGGAGGCCAGTGTTTGATTCTATTGTGCATGGGATCGCTCTGAGTCAGAATAACTAGACAGTACCTAAGAACAACAGAGCCTTCATCAACACCATAATTCAGATGTAGCCATTCGTCTTCAGTCTTTCTTTGTCTAGTTTTCACACGCATATGAAGCAACTGAATACTATGGCTTGAGTCAGGCACACCTTAGTCTTCAAAGTGACATCTTGCCTTTTTAACACTTAAAGAGAGTCCTAGGGTGACACTATAGGGTAAAGCACAGGACTGCCAGGGTGGTTTGAACCACCACAGTCACAACAACAAAAGGAGGTTTTGAGCCCAATGCAATACATCCCTTCATTTCATCACTGCTCCGTCCGTGGATGTCAGTAATAGTTCTAAGTAAAACTAAATTCTTGACAATGTCAATATTTATCCTTAGTGAGACTTTGTTTTATGTTGAAGTGTAATCTATATTGAAAGCTGTAGAGTTTGTCCTTCATCAGTAAGTGCTTCAAGTCCTCTTCATGTTCAGCAAGCCAAGGTTGTGTCACTTTCGTATTGTATGTTAATGATCTTCCTCCAATCCTGTTGTCACATGTTCTTCATATAGTTCAGCTTCTCTGATTTGTTCAGCATATAGATTGCATGGTGGTGGTGGTGGTTTTGTGGCGTGGAGTCGGTTCTGACTCATAGCGACCCTGTACGGGGTTTCTGAGGCTATAAATCTTTACGGGAGCAGAAAGCCTCATCTTTCTCCTGTGGATCAGCTGGTAGTTTCGAATTGCTGACCTTGCAGTTCACAGCCCGATTCGTAACCACTACGCTATCAGAGCTCCTTATAGATTGCATAGTATGGTGGAAAGATATAACCCTGACATACACCTTAACTGATTCTAACCCACACGATATCCCCTTGTTATATTCAGATGACTACCTCTTGGTCTGTGTACAGGTTCCCCATGAGCACAGTTGTTTTAGAATTCTTATTCTTTGCAATATTCTCCATAATTAATTATAATCCACGGAGTCAAATACCTTTACATAGTCATTAAAACACAGGTAATCGTCTTTTTCATACTCTCTGCTTTCAGCTAAGTTCCCTTTGATATCTACAGTGATATCCCTTGTTTCACATCCTCTTCAGAACCTCCTTTGCATTTCTGGCAGTACCCTGCCCATGTACAACCTGTTTGATAATTTCTGCGTTGTCTCTGCTCACCTTTCTGTGCAATGGGCGTGAACATACATGGATTTCTTCCAGTTGGTTGGCCAGGTAGCTGCCCCCCAGATTTCTTGGTTTAGACAAGTGAACCCTACCAGCACTGAAGTATCTTCTAAATTTGTTGATTTTGGATGAGTAGTCCTGCCAGCCCTGCATCTGTTTATTGAAACGTTTTAATTGGTATCCCATCAATTCATGGTATCTTGTTTTTAGCCAGTGCCTTCGGGCCAGTTTGGAGCTCTTTCCTCA